TTATATATGTCCATGTATGTTTCTAGTTTTATGTTCTGTTCTCTTATGTTTGCTTTTATAACAAACAAGCAAAATACTCTTTTGATATCAAGTTGACTAATAGTGGTTTGAGACTGAGGTTGATACTTAAAGTCTAAGTACAGATCCCACAGTTTTTGCCCTAGAATTCCATCTTATCATTTGGGGGGTGCACTTGTGCATGCTTGCACACCCCGCCCCTCCCTCTTTTTCCCTACTTCCCCCTTCTCCTCCCCTCTTCTCCTCCCGTGTGTGTGTGTGTGTGTGTGTGTGTGTGTGTGTGTGTGTGTGTGCTGGGAACTGAACCCAGGACCTTTACAACAATAAATAAATAAATGCTTTTAATCACTGAGCCAGCTCACCAGCCCCATGGCCTTACATGTTGAAACTAGTTCCCATGTCCAAAAGGTTCTCAACCTCCCAAAACAGTGCCACCAGCTGGGGCCAACTGTTCAAACACAGGAGCCTGGGGTGACTTTCACGCTCTGACCATAACAGCATGTTCTACTTCGGCCAGCGGCAAAGCTTGATCTTTGCTCTCAGCCTCCGTTGTGAGTAACAGAAATACTAAAGAGTTCTAGATGTGATCTGTGCATTCTTTCTAAGAATTCTGAACCAGGGAAACTGGGCTTTTCTGTTGAGGTTAATAATATGTTTTTAAAATGAATATAAACTTATTATACAGAAGTAACCAGGACATGATGATAGAACACAGCTTAATTATATTTTATAACATAAACCTCTAAGTATTTTTATGCTTTTTGGTATTCTCTTCTTCTCTAGTTCAGGTGTTTAGGAGCCTATTTATCAGAAAGTGTGCTGATAGGAGTTTGGCTTTTTTAATTTTTATTTATTTTTTTATTTTGGTTTTTGGTTTTTCGAGATAGGGTTTCTCTGCAGCTTGGAGCCTGTCCTGGAACTAGCTCTTGTAGACCAGGCTGGCCTCAGACTCAAAGAGATCCGCCTGGGGCTGGAGAGATGGCTCAGAGGTTAAGAGCATTGCCTGCTCTTCCAAAGGTCCTGAGTTCAATTCCCAGTAACCACATGGGGGCTCACAACCATCTGTAATGGAGTCTGGTGCTCTCTTCTGGCCTGCAGGCATACACACAGAATATTGTATAAATAAATAAATAAATATTAAAAAAAAAGAGAGAGATCCGCCTGCCTCTGCCTCCCGAGTGCTGGGATTAAAGGCGTGTTCCACCACTGCCCGGCTCATTTATTTACTTTTTAATAATGCCAAATTAAATACACAAAAGCAACTTTCATATTGCTAATAGCATCTGGGATAGAATAGTCTAGATAGTTATGTAGGTGTTCAGCAACTTCCCTCTCGCTTTCAAAAGCCCCAAATCCTGTTTTTTAAAGTATAAAGACACCAAGTTTTAACTAGAAATGCTGTAAGGTCTCCTCATGATTCCTCACTATGCCAAACACAGTTGTCTAAAGGCGTGTCTACATAGACTTTTAACAATAAAAGTGCAAGGAAGGGTGGTAACAGCAGTAGCCCGTCTTTCCGTGAGAGACCTCTGCAGGACACTGAGGAGTCGGGCATGCTGTCCTGCTTAGGGGGCAGACAGTTGGTGCCAAGGCCAGACTGCTCTATAGCAAGTTCCAGTCCATCTGGGCCATAGGTAAGACTCGTGTCTTCAAATTTAAACAACAAACAAGCAAAAAAAATTGGCTTTGACAAGATTCTGGGTAAACATTAGGACTTGTAATTAGAGGCAACCTGCTTTAGTTCTCTGCATTTCACGTTAGTGATGGCCTGATGTGACCCTGTGATTTTTCTTTAACGGCATTACTGCCGAAACTAAAAGCACTTATGCACCCAGCAGTGGTGGCTCACGCCTTTAGCCCCAGCACTTGGGAGGCAGAGGCAGGTGGGTCTCTGTGAGTTCAAGGGCACCCTGGTCTACTGAGCGAGTGCCAGGATACACAGAGGAAAAACAAAAACCCTTATGCAAATAGCCTAGAAACCGCATTTGGCTTGCTAAGCCTTGAACTTGAAATCTTCCTACCCTAGCTATGTTGTCCGTTCTTCCCGGTAGCTGGGAGTTTTAGTACCTGTTCTCTTTGTTTGAGGAGACACCATGACTGAGGCAACTTTTAAACAGAAGCATTTAACTTGCTTCCAGCGTCAGAGTTAGAAAGGGTGCTAGAGACGTGGCTGAGAGCTCACCTCTGCACCACAGGTGCAACCAGAGAGCAAGTGAGACTGGGCCTGGCGTGGGCTTTGGAAATCTTAAAGCTTCCCCCACCCTGTCCAGTGACACACCTCCCCCAATAAGGCCACCCCTTGCTAATCTCTCCCAAACAGTTATACTAACTGGAGACCAGGCACCCACTCATAAGAGCTTATGGAGGTCATTCTTACTCAGACCACCACACTGGGACCGCAAGTCTGTCCCACAGGCCCCACTGAGAACTTTGACCTGTGATTAGATCTCCTTTTAGAGAGTGGAGAAGTGGGGTTAAAGAAAAATCAAACGCCTTGTGCTTACTGATAGGAACTTTTGTACAGCTCATTATATAACTCATTTGACATTTGTGACTATTGGTTGTTCCTTATGGGTTCATATAAACATGCATGGTTTTGTTTTAAATGCTATAAAGCGTACTAGGTCTATATCTTGTGTTTGATCCTTAGCTCTGCAGACACAAATACGCATTCTACCTGTCTCACACACACCCTGACACTGTGTATTAAAAATAAAATGACCTAGCCAGGACAGGCAGTTAATGACTATAGTCCCAGCAGTTGGGGGACTGAACCAGGAAGATTATGGGTTCAAGACCAGCCTAGGCTACGTAGTAATAATAATAACCCTGTCTCAAAAAAGCAAACAAGAGCCATAAATTTTACTATTTTAAATGTATTTGAATGAGTGTTCTGTCTGCATGTATATGTATGCCCCATTGGAGGAGTCCAAAAGAAGGTGTAGGATCCCGCTAGGGCTAGAATTACAGACAGTAGCAAGCTACCATGTGGTACTGGGAAATCAAAACTGGGTCCTTTGGAAGAGCAGCAGTGTTCTTAAGTGCTGAGCCATCTTTCTAACTCCCAAGAGCTATAAATTTAATTGATAAATTACACATTTGTGAAATGAGAATATTAATTGTATCTAGCTAAGTGGTCAGTGCTCAATAAAAATGACTAATCGACTGACATTTACATAATAATGTCTTTTCTTTTTTCCCCACATGAGTGAATGTGGGCAGTCTCCTGATTCTTGTTATAGAAAGATGTTTACAAGATAGTTTAAAATAGCAAATTTAAATAGCAAAATTAAATTTTTACATATATCTTACATTAAAGTTGGTACAAGTTAATAGTACTTAAATAAGATAGATTCAGGTACTACGTAGGCTGTTTATAGTATGCAGACTGGGAAATGAGAGTCGTACCTGTCTAGGGTCAACAAGATGCATGAGAGTGTTTGCTACCATGCATGAAGACCTGAATTTGAGGCACAGGTCCCACATGGTAAAGGAGAGAATGGACTCCTGCAGATGGTTATCTGACCACACAAGTGCCGAGACACACATACCTCTCTCCCCATGCATCCATGTACATAACTTAAAAAAGAAAGAAAATCTTATGTTTTTAAGAAGTGGTTGAACCAGCTATGGACGTTCGTGCCTGTAATACCAGCACTTAGAAGCTCTCATATTCAAGCCAGTCTGGGCTAGACTGGACCTTTTCCCAAATCAGTGCTTCTAGAACTTCCTGTAAAAGGAAAGGAGAGAGAGACTGGTCGCTGTTGCCCATTCCTTGTCAGTCGCTGTACGTGAGCTCTTTATTACCCAGTTTCCTAGTGTCACCCTTTCTTTCTTTTCAAGTTGCTTCCTGGTTTACTTCCTGTTCAGTTTGCAGTAATGGGTGTGGAATGAAGCAAGAACTTATGTTGGTGCCCATTGTCTGAACCAGGAAGGAGTATGGCAGCTGCGGGACTCGGGATGCCCAGCTGCCCCACCCGCCCACCCTCTCTGCAAGTCAGTTAGCCTGTAGCTCCTGACTGTGCATACACAGTCAACAGTTGAGGGCTCATTCATCCAGGGCATTCCCCTGCTTCTGTGTATGTATGTCTCTTCAACAGTATCGGAAGATTCAGCTCCACAGAAATAGAAAAGTAAACTCTATACAATGAAACTAAAGCAGTTAATTACCGCACATAGCCCAGGGTGGCCTTGAACTCCTGATCCTGTTTTTGCCTTTCAATTGCTAACAGTATGTTTTTATTAATTCTTTTATCAAAAGGAACTCTTATTAACTATATCCTCTCTTACCTTTTTCCTATTTTGAGTTTAGAAGCTATCTGAAGAATCAAGATTTAAAAAAAAAAAAAAAAACTGTTGTAAAACTTCCCCTCGTCTGGATTTTGCTGTTCTGTATTTCCCTCAGGTGGCTAACCTAATTCCTAATTCCCATTCTCCTGTGTTTTCCTATATATTGGTGGCTGGTTCTCCAGGACTGATCAGATGATAGTTGGTAGGTTTTGTTTTTGAAAGTGTTTTTCTCTCTCACCAGAAGTCCCTTTAATGTCTTGCTGTGTTTCAGTTTTGTATTGTTAGCAGTGACTTAGTCCTTAATATAGTAAAAGCTGCAAAGTGGGTGTTTTTCTTCTGTCGTTCCTTCTTTCTTTTAACTACCACCCATGAGGAACCTCACTTTGATTAAAGATTCAGCTGGCTTTAAGTGTGTTTTTGCTGAGTTAGTATCTTCTGTGACAGTGGGTAGCAGTAACAGGACCTGGTGTTAGATCTTTCAGTATAGCAGGTATTGAGTAGTTGGTAACAGTCCAACTTCAGATTCCCTATAGTTTATTAGGGTGCTGTCTTAGACTACCTAATAACACTCATTTCTCAGCTTGGTGGGGTTCAGTTTGTGCTCAGGTTAACATGGACTTCTATACTTGGGTACTATAGTGGCTGTTTTAAGGCCTCACCTGTTTGTTTGTTCTTGTTTTCTTTTTCTATAGTGCTGGGAGAATGGGGGTGAACCCAGGCCCTTAAAATGCTAGCCGAGTGCTCTGTTATTGAGATGTATGTCCCCAGCTATATGTAAGTTTTTAAAATGAATTTACATACTTCTTTTCTTTTTTTTTCTTATTTTCTAAAGTATAATTTCTGGGCTTGATTTGAAATTTGAGCAATAGAGGCTATATTATATCTGTATAAAATATTAGTCCGGGTAGCTTTGGCATTGCTTATTGAAGGCATTGCTTTTATGGTTTGTTTATTTGTTTTGTTTTGCCAGTGCAGAATTTAAGTTTCTCAGCAATTTACCAGCATTTTAAATTTTTAAGTAATTTTAGAAAATAGTGTAACAGTGTTCCTAGTGACTAGAAGCCAGTTGTTCTGTGCTTTGCTATGCTGTTCTAATGCCTTGGGTCTAGTACAAAGCCAGAGAGATTTGACTGAGCCTGGACAGTACAGATGGTTATCACAGTAGCATCCCTTTTCTGTATTAAGGCTTCCTCATATAAAATACATTATTCAGATTCAGTGTTGGAGCGAGGCTTTGTGGCAGTAGTATTAAACTAGTCACGTAGCCCCTGCCCCGCGAAGCTGGCATGCACAGTTGCACAGGTGGAATGTGACCCTGCACCTCCACCTCTCCTTTGCAGGGCTGTCTAAACACTCCTGGAGACAGAACATCTGCTGTGTGCAAGTACAGCCAGCTTTTAGAGTGTCGGAGTGTAGTACCTTGTGCTGTGAGTCTGACATGGTGAAATGGTAACCTGTTAGTGACTTATGCCCAACTGCGGTATGTATATGTGCACACACACATGCCTGTGAGCACAGTGTGTGTGTGTGTGTGTGTGTGTGTGTGTGTGTGTGCGCGTGCGCGCGCGCGCACATGTGTAGAGGACTGAGGAATTACAGGTGCTGCTCCTGAGGAATGTTCACCTCGTTTTTGCCAAGTAGGCTAGGCTGATTGGCAGTGAACCCCAGCATTCCACTGTCTCCATCCTCAGTGTTGGGTTACAAGTGCACATCACTCTGCCCAGGTTTTTTTTTTTTTTAAAGATTTAATTATTTATTGTGTATACAGTATTCTGCCTCCACGTATGTCTGCACGCCAGAAGAGGGCACCAGATCTCATTGCAGATGGTTGTGAGCCACCATGCGGTTGCTGGGAATTGAACTCAGGACCTCTGGAAGAGCAGGCAATGCCCTCAACCACTGAGCCATCTCTCTAGCCCTCTGCCCAGGTTTTTTTTATGGGCCCTGGGTGTCAGACTTAGCCCTTGGGCTTATAAGGCACACACTTTACCAACAGAGCCGTCTCTCCACCCCTAGTTTAGATTTGTCAAAAGATTGTTTCTTTTTTCCTCTTACCCCAAAGTAGTTAAAATCCATTACCGAATTGATTGTGCATCTTCCAGTGCCTTGGAGAATAGCTAAGTGTGAACATGTTTCTCCATCGTCATTTTCAAGGCAATCTAAGTTTCAAGCATTTTGTTCGATTAAAAAAAAATTTATCCTTGTGTGTGTGCACATGTGCAGTAGTACACAGTAGGACAACTGAGTCTCTTCCACAGTGGGTTCCTGGGGTCAAGCTTAAGTTGTCAGACTTGCTCATCTTTTTAGAGGCCTTTAGTTTTGTATTTATTTTTTAAGAGAGTCTCACGGAGTCCAAGCTTGCCTCAGACTTGCTATGTAGCTGAAGGCTGTCTTGAACGTCTGACTCTGCCTTCCTGTCCCAGTTGTACCACCATGACCAGGGTCTGCAGTGCTAGGAGTCACCCAGGGCTCCCGGCATGCTAGACAAGCACTGTTCCAGCAGTGAGTCACAGCCCTGGCCCAAACGTGGTTTTTCATTTCGATAAGCAAGCGATCTGTAAGTTAGTGCCCCCTGACATAAGTCTGGGGACCCTGATGAACTTGAGCAGACTGGTTTGTGGCTGTCTTGAAACAGTGGCAGACTTCACGACACATGCCATTTCTTCAGGAGTGGTTCATTTTCTTTGATCCGGATTTACTGACTGGAAAAAAAGGTATATATGGTCACTGTACGTGATATAAAAGAGATTTTAATTGACATGAATGTAACATTTTTTCCTTTCCATATGTATTTTTCAGTAAGTTAGAAGTTTTCCTTTATATTCTCACCAATGAGGCCTTGAATCATCTTAGATTATACAGACTTTCTATCAGTTTTCCTGTTCTGTTTTTTTCTTCCATCCCTCTTTTTCTCCTCTCTCCCCTTTCTCTCCTCTCTCTTCCCTGTCTCTTCCCATCACTAGACTAGGCTGGCCTCAAACTCACAGAGCTATACCTGCCTCTACACTTGTCGGAGTTGTGTGATTCATTTGTCATTTTTCTTTTGTGTGATTCCAAGGCATGTTAAACTTGGGGAGCTTTTATATACTGCAGTGTTAGGAGATATACCCCTCCTTTGTCTGCTGCAGACCTGGCCCTCAGGTGAGGGCGTATCTCAGGGTGTGACTAAATTTAAAAAGAGGGCCTTAGAGGAGGAGAGAGTGACTTCAAATGAGGCTTTGGGGGTCAAAGGCTAATTTAATTTAGTGTTAACTCCTGTGCTTGGTTATTTCATTGTCCCATGGAGTTTGTCATAAATTACTTATTTTATGAAAGCTAGTTTTGTTTGGTCTTATTTATGGTATAAAAGTCATGTTTAACCTTGGGTCAAGTGGGCACTGCTGTCTTGCCAGTTCTAAGATGGAAGCTGTGAACATCAGCCTCTTTATAACCACGTGTTTCCAAAGGCCATTCTCCCTGTTGTGGTTGGTTGGGTGGTTGATTTTACCATCAATTAAGAGATAATGAGAGATTCCCCTCCCCAGGACAAATTCAGCCAAAAATGCTTTGGTCAGTGTTCCTTTAAAGCCATGTGTGAATGAGCAAGGCTAGGTGTCTGCAGCCTGGCTCCATGGGTGGTAGGAGGGCACTGAGCCCCTGAATTCACAATCAGCCTGAGCAACATTGGTCTCTGAAACGACAAAGAAGAGCTGAACAGAGCCGTCAACCCGCCTTCTGGAGCTCGTTTTAAGAAGCTATTTTCCCACACACAGGATTTTTTTTAGTGTTCTGTGGGAGTTGGATGCATCCTGTCAGTGCTTAGAGATGTGCCTCTGTCTGAATTCACACCCTCCTGGCCTTGGCACCTTTTCCAGTAACCACAGTGGAGTCTTGTGCCGACTTCTGCTCTGATGATGCCTGTTTTGGCACTTCGCTCTTCTGTCGTTCAGTGGAAGAAACCTGACCTCACTTCAGAGATAAAAGCTCTTTTGATAAATGCCCTCAGAATCCTGTATAATTTTATTTGTACTGTAGATGGACCTAGACATTTTGTTGTTACTTCCTTGTTTTATTTGAGGCCTTGATGTGGTGTGCAGGCTGGCCCTTAACTCCAGAGCTAACATAGTCTTACCTCATCCTCCTGAGTAACTGGGACTACAGGTGTGTGCCTAGCAGGCACCTGTGAGAAGAGTTTTAAATTTGTTTTTGTTTTGTTTTGTGTTTCTGTGTAGTCCAGGCCAGCCTCTCAGTTCTTGATTCTCTTGCCTCAACCTCCTAAGTGGTATGAGCTACCACTTTGGGTTGCCTTTTTTTTTAAGAGAGGAAAATAATTTCAGAGGTACTATTTTTTTAAGACTTTTTTTTAAACTCTTATGTGTACAAATGTTTGCCTGTATATATGTATGTGTGCTACCACTTTGATGCCTGATAGCCTTAGAGGCCAGGAGAGGTCATTAGTGGACCCTCTGGAGTTGGAGTTAGAGAATCCAGCTCCCATCCTTTGCAAAGGCTCCAGACGCTCTTAATCACTGAGCCATCTTTCCAGCTCTGAGTTTGCAGTTTTATTCTTAATATAATCTTACTTTTATCATGACATAGCTATGGTTCTCCAGAAGTCATACCTTCATTATTTTTCTTGTTATCGTGACAGAATGCCTGACCAAAGCAACTGCAGGAGGGAGGACTGGTTTCTACTCCGGGTCCGGTGGGGATGGGCAGGGGCGGGGCAGGAGGCTGCTGCTTACATCGCATTCACTGCCAAGAAGCAGGCAGCAATGAAGCAGAGCTGGGACCTCACAATAAAGTAGACCTTCTACCGCAGCTAATGTAATTAGAGCTCCTCGTGGACATGCCCACAGATTGCTTTCTGGGGTGGGTCTAAGTCCCATCAAGGTGACAGTCAAGGTTAACTAGAAATCATCACCCCCACCCCACATAGAATCTGCCAATACTTGTTTTCTAGAAGTCTTTTTGTGTGTTTCATTTTTGAGACAGGGTTTCTATAGATCAGACTGGCCTCGGACTCAGAAATCCTCCTGCCTCTGCCTCCCGAGTACTGGGGTTAAAGGCATCTGCCAGCATTGCCAAGCATAGAAACTTTTTTTTAAACATTTGAGACAGAATCTTTAAAAACTTCTTAGTCCTTTTTTTATTCTCATCACATTGCCTTTTAATTCCTTACTGATCAAGTCTACCGCTCTACCAAGAGTTATTATTTGGCAGTAAATACCTGTAATCCTATCAAGCAACAGGCTGAGATAGGTAAACTCTGGACTACACACAGACCCTACCTCAAAACACCAAGAGCTAGGGATGAAGCTAGTCGCCTTGCTTGCCTAGCTGTGCAAGGCTCTGGATTTGATTTCCAGCACTGTACATACGTAAACCTTACTTTGACTTTTTGATGGCTTGGTGTTCATACCCAACTTTTGGCTGGAGTTGGGGGTGAGATAAGTGTTACATCATCACCCAGGCTGGCATGGCCCTTACTATGGCCAGCTGACCTTGAATTCACAGCAGTCTTCACCTTCCTGAATGCTAGGATCACAAGTGTGATTAATCTACCACACCTCACCCCAAACACATTTTTTAACACATAAATTTAATCTTTTGTGGCTTAAACTTGTGGTTTTATACTATCTTCATATGAGTTTTCCCACTTTTTTCTTAAGATTTATTTTTATGTATAAGTGTTTGCCTCCATGTCTGTTATGTGTACAGTACCATAGGAGTAACGTGCTGCCCACAGAGGTCAGGAGATGGCATTGGGAACTGGGTCCCTGGAACTGGTTACAGATGAGCCACAGTGAGCCACTGTGTGGGTGCTGAGAATCAAACCCTCTGTAAAAGCATCCACGTAAACACTGAGCATCTCTCCCACCTCAGTTTTCAAGCTTCTGTGAGCTGGAATTAGATAGCATCTAACCAGGACACCGGAGCTTTGGAAAACCAGATTTTGGCCATCACTTCGTGAAGTTGTCCAAGTCTGAGTAACTTGATTGTTAATCTCCCCACAGCCCCGCAGAGTCCCTGTGATAGGCGTGTTCTCCCCACAGCCCCGCAGAGTCCCTGTGATAGGCGTGTTTTCCCCACAGCCAAGCTCCCATAGCTTCCTTCAACAGAACTCTGCTTTGCCCCTAGCAGTTCCTCCCAGTGGGTGGCCGAGGGTTCCACCAGCTGACACCATCCTCTCCCTTCTGACCACACTCCGCCTCTTAATTCCTACACATTTCCTCTTCAACACTGCACTGTGTCTTGCTACAGTCAGTGACTAGTCCCATTTTAGATTAGTTTGGTTTTTTTGAGATGAAGTCTTGGTGGGGGGTTGCAAGCATGCATGTGTCCATCAAATTCTTCCCCCTTCCACCTCTTCCTTGGTTGCTGTTTGTAGGCATGCACTACCATATGCCATTGATACACATTCTTCTATTACAAAAGTAATACTTCAGTGGCACCTGTCTTCCTCCTTTTTCCTGACCTCTTATCTTCTGGCTTACAGACACTCAAGCGGCACATTTCTGAGAAACTGAACTTACTCTGCCTTCCCTCCTGCAGATCTGGCCAGCCAGCTTGTTGCCATCCCCAGAGGAACCATTCTTCATGCAGTTGCCGAAGCCATAAATTTGAAGACCTTTGATGCTTCTCCTGCACCCTCCAATTGTAATGAACTTAGACTCTTGCTTGTGCACCTGCTGTCTCTCTTCTGTTGGACTCTTAGCCCAGACCCTTCTACCTGCATTTCCCCAGAACATCTATTTTGGTGCTTCTTAGGACTTTTATATTTCAAGGCTGTAGCTTAGAAAATAAGGGCCTCTGAGACCTGTTTCTCCTCGAGTGTAATGCTGGTAGCCTTACTTCTAAAATGTCCACCCCTCCTCTCTTCCCTCATGGATTCTCACAGCCAGCACCCATACCACCCTCTCTTGTGATTGTTGAGTTTTCTGTCTTCTGTAGCAGTGACTGTGTCGTATGGGTGCGAGTGGTTAGTCACCCTAGCAGAGAGAAGGAGATAGGAGGGAGACACTCCTGTGAATGAGTTCTGAAGCCATTGTGTTTTATGGCTCCTCTTGCTTTAAAGTTGATCAGTGATGTGATTAGCATTCATCTTTCTGGGCCCATCCTAATAGTTGTATAAGTAAGTGGGACTGTTGGCTGGGATGGACTCTAGCCCTCTGCAGACAGTACAACAGAGAGAAACTGGTGCTAAACCTAGTAGGGTGCCAGGGTGCCAAGGAGGGAGGGTGTGTTCTAGTGACTGGTGTAGGACCAGGGAGGAGGAATCCAAGTGACTGCTTCTGGCTTGCTTGTGTGGGTACCTGAGGCTATGGTCATATAGTGGTGTTGGGTTTTGAGCCATCCAGGTGAGGGAGGTCTACCAGACAACAGCAGGCTCTCATTAAGAGAGTATGCCACAGGAAATGATGAGGTGGAGAATCATCTGTGTGTGGGAGCTAATTAGAGCTAGAAATGGTCATCTAGACATCACCTAAAAGGAATCATGGTCTGTAAACAGAATGAACTGGGCTCTGACATCAGGAGCTAGGAAGGAAAGCAAAGCCTGGGGGTGTAAGGGATCGGAGTGGCTGAGGCTAAAGGCTTGGGCAATAAGAAGCCCATCCATCACTTAGCTTTGTTTCAAGGAGAGAGACAAGGAAGTTGATCTTTGTTTACCTAGCTTAGGATAGATGGCTCAGCACAGACTGTTTCCTCGGCTTCCCTCACACAGCTCTGCCTAACTCTCATTCGCTCCCCAGCCTGAAGTCAAAAGCCCACCAACACCTTTTGTTGGATGTGGCACAGCCACCAAAGTCCCTTCCAACTTCTGTGTAAGATTTAAGACAGAATTTGGGCCAAAAAAGCTGATACGGATGTGCTGTATGGTTTGCATTTTATTTAATCACGAGAGGAGGACTTGATTGTTGCAGGTGCCCACTTATTCACTCCAGGCTGCCCAGATTAGAAATAACCACACAGAAACTGTATTAATTAAATCACTGCTTGGCCTATTAGCTCTAACTTCTTATTGGCTGACTCTTACATATTAATTTAACCCATTTCTAGTAATCTGTGTTTGGTCACGTGGTTGTGGCTTACTGGCAAAGTTCCCGCTCAGACTCATCTGTTCCCAGCAGCGGCTACATGATGTCTCCTTACTTTCTCCCAGCATTCAGTTTGTTTTCCCCACTTACCTCTATTCTGCCCTGTGCTGGCCCAGGACAGTTCCTTTATTAACCAATGGTATTCACAGCATTCAGCGGGGAATCCCACATTACTTGATTATATCAGACTTCATTTAAAACAGGGTCATGTAGCTCAGGCTGGTCTCAATCACTGTGTAGCTGAGGGTGCTCACAATTGACAGTGCCCTCACGCTGTCTCAGTCCCCATCCTCCTGTCTCTGTACTTGTGTAGGCACGTGCCACCAGGCCTAGCTACTTAGAGCAAACTTTCAAAATAGAATTTTGAGAACTGGGGATGTAGCTCAGTGATTGTTTGCCTAGCACAGATAGCACCCAGCATGGACCAGGTTCTGGCTAAGAGATGAGGAGACTGGCAGCCATAGAAAACTGGCTGGAACTTTCCACTGTGCTTGTCTCTAGAGTGGGATGGGAGTGGGCAATGTGATACCATCTGTTTTTAGTTTGGGGTTTTTTGTAACAGATGCCCTGGTACCCTGCATCATATCCTTAATTCCCCACCAATATCAACCAAAATTCAGATGCTTTTCGTCTGAGTCTTACCAGAGCCTTGGGTTGTTTTTTTTTTTTTTTGTTTTGTTTTTTTTCTTTTTTTCCCTCAGAACTGTTAGGTTCACCAGGGGAAGGGAGAAAGTTGACTCCCCCTCCCCAATCTTCAGCCAGCAGCAACACCCAAATATGGTGCCTCCTAGGCCTCCCTCCCAGCAGTCAGTTGGATTATGGATACCTTTACTCCCTCACTCCCTTCTTTGGGATACCTCCAGTTTTTATCTTGTTATTGTCCGTAGAGTTATTGTCCTCCAGTTATTGTCCGTAGAGTGGACTTTACAGGTTTTGTGTAAACCAATGCCTCCCCTAATTATACTAATTTCTTGGCAGATGTCTCTATCAGTAACAGTACCTGTCCTAGTTAGGGTTTCTATTGCTGTGATGAAACACCATGACCAAAATCAAGTTGGGGAAGAAAGGGTTTATTTGGCTTATACTTCCATATCACTGTTCCACAGTGAAGGAAGTCTGGACAAGAGCTCAAGCAGGGTAGGATCCTGAAGGCAGGAGCTGATGCAGGGGCCATGGAAGGGTGCTGCTTACTGGCTTGCTCAGCCTGCTTTCTTAGAGAACCCAGGACCTCCAGCCCAGGGAAGGCCCCACCCACAATGGACCGTGCCCTTTCCCATCATCACTAAATAAAATGCCCTAGAGACTCGCTGCACACAGCATTCTCAGTTGAGGTGCTCTCCTCTTAGCTTGTGTCAGGTTGACATGAAACTAGGCAGCACAGCACACAGCACCTAAAATACTGTGAGGGCACAGGGAGGCAAAGCAAACATTGTGCAGTGCAAAACAGCACACACATTGCTAAAGTGCAAATTTATTCACAGGTATTCTGTAATAAAATCATTATGTGATAATTTATTACCCCTCCCCCACACATCCAACTTGCCATTACTTTCAATTCACTTACAGGAAAATATGAAAACCCAGCACATAGTTGGTACAAAGAAAGAGCACTCAATATGACTGTTATTTATTTATATATCATCTTGTTCTTGAAGAATTCTGCGTCGTTCTTTTGGGAAGATCAGATTATAGCCCATGACAGAGCTATTAAAATGCTGTGGTGCAGAAAGGGGACGCTCTCTGCAGACGCTTAGGCTGCGAGCTGTCAGAGCAACCAGAGGCCCTTGTTAGCATGCCCCGCAGGATAGAGATGGCTCCGTGTGGAGAGGTGCTTGCCACCAAACCTGGGTTCCTGAATCTCATCCCTGGAGTTCACGTGGTGAAGAACCAACTTCTGCCGTTTGTCCTCTCACTTCTTCATATGTACTATATGGAATTCACTTGTGCTTATATAGAAATAAATGTAGCTGAGTGGTGGTGGCGCATGCCTTTAATATCAGCACTCGGGAGGCAGAGGCAGGTGGATCTCTGCGAGTTCAAGGGCAGCCTGATCTACATGAGCTAGTTCCAGGACAGCTAGGGCTGTGACACAGAAACCCTGTCTCGAAAAACCAATAAATAAATAAATAAGATAAATGAAATAAATGTATATAAATGTAAAAAAAACTTTAAAAGGCACTTTATATGTCAAAATTGAGAGTTTACATTTTCATAGTTAGGGGGCAGCTGAGGCTGGGCTAAGAGAACCGCGGGAGTAGGAATGGAAGGTAAAGAACAGCATGCGCACTTGACGGGCAGCCCTGACAGTGGCGGTGGGTAAAGGCTCGGAAAGCCTGTGAAGGGCTGTACTTTGTTGCCCCCAGGATGCGTGTCTTAAGCGATAATTTCCACTAGAGTGGATCTCCCGATGCGTAGCTCTGCAGGTGTGGCCTCGCTCCCATAGACCTGTGACTGCAGATCCTTATTTTGGTTGGTAGGATTTTTCTAGAAGACCAGAATTTCTTCAGCCCCGGGGAGTCTGTGTGGCAAGGGCTAGGGCATGTACCACTGGACTGTCTAGTATTTCAACCTTCAGCTCACATTTCTCAGACCACAGAGGGGGCGCCTCGCCTGGGTGCGCAGAGACCAGGGCACAGGCCAGTGTCCAGGAATTATCTTTGTCTCACTTTTGAAATGCCTTCATCCTTAGCCTCTGGCCAGGAAAGAAAGAAAGGAAGGAAGGAAGGAAGGAAGGAAGGAAGGAAGGAAGGAGAAAGAGAGAAGAGAGAAAGGCACCATGACTTTTTTTTGTCTAAACTAGTTGAAACTTTTTTTAGAATTAGTAAGGAATATGGACTCTATGCTTTATTTAAGATAGCTACAGGAGATTTAACATTTAGATTTGACAATTGGCCAAAGGGCCAATAAAGATGGATAGTTCATATGACTAGAGTTTTTAAGGAAGCCTAGACTAGAATATAGCACAGCACAGACAAGTAAAGAGTTGTAGACAGCAGAATAGCCAACACTGTGGAAATGGTTAAAGAAATGATAGTTATTTTTACATGCAGCCGATAAAATGATAGTTGTGATGACCTAGAAAGATCATGATTAAAAATATACTAGGGGCTGAGAGTAGTGACACACCTTTAATCCCAGCCCTCTGGGAAGCAGGCAGATCTTCTGTGAGTTTTGGGACACCCAGGATTACATACTGAGCCATGATCTCAAACAAACAAAAATCAACAAACAAAGCAATCTACTAGGATTGGGGATAGTATGCATGCTGGATTTTCCAGCATTGAGGGAAGCTGAGGCAGGAGGATCACAAGTTTGGAACCAGCATGGGCTATGTGATGAGACACTAGTTATGGGGAATAAAAGGGGGGGGGGGGGTTGGGGTTTGTCACTCAGCTGGTGGAGTGCTTGCTTAGCATCTACAAAGTCCTGGGCTCAATCCTCAGTATCACGTGTAATCTTGGCATTATGGAGGCAGGAGGATGAGAAAGTCATAGACCAGGGTGGCCTACATGAAACCCTATCTCCTAAAAACAAGACAGAATGAACAATCTAGAAGGTCGAAGTTCTTTAGTCCTTTCTGCCTCTGTGCCAGGGTGTGGTAAGAAAGCAGTTTCAGTAAATTCAGCATAGTTAGAGGAGCCGTTCACATTGACTTGCAGCCCCAGCAAACTGAAATGCGACTTTTGGTAAAGACTTTAGAAATTGAAAAACAAATTTCTCTTGCTAGAAGCTACACTAAGTCAGTTCTGTTCTCTCCTGTTCCAGGGCATCTGTTATGCACCTTAAGCCATACTGGAAACTCCAGAAAAGAGAGCACCCTCTCGATGTCAGCAAGGACCCCCTGAGAAGAGCTGCAAGCCACCAAAATGCTGTCAGTGATGAGAAAGACAAAGCTAACTACATGAAACCAGCTGTCTTTCCTTCAGCCTCCCCTGTCAAAGCAACATCTAGAAAACCTTTTGGGATCCTTTCTCCAAATGTTCTGTGCAGTATGAGTGGGAAGAGTCCTGTGGAGAACAGCTTGAATGTGAAAGCCAAAAAGAATGTGCCGTCTGCAACAGTACACCAGAGTGAAGAAGAGGGGCTGCCTGGGAGCTGGGCTATTGTCAAACCTGGAAACACAAAGGAGAAAATTGCATTCTTTGCAGCCCACCAGTGTAGCAATAGGATAGGATCTATGAAAATAAAAAGCTCCTGGGATATCGATGGGAGAGCCACTAAAAGAAGGAAAAAATCAGGAGACCTTAAGAAAGCCAAGGTGCAGTTAGAAAGGATGAGAGAGATCAACAGCCAGTGCTGCCAGCCCGAGCCATTCGCCTGTGGCATTGAGCACTGCTCTGTGCATTATGTGGGTGACAGTGGGGATGGTGTCTACAGTGGGAGGCCTCTGTCGGTGATACAGATGGTTGCCTTCCTTGAGCAGAGAGCCAGTGCTCTGCTAGCTAGCTGTGCAAAGAACTGCACAAATTCTCCTGCCATTGTGAAGATTACTGGCCAGTCCCGAGGTTTGCCTCCTGCACCTGAGCCCTTCTCTGCTCTGGGAACTTGTGAAGAACCCATGGAAAGAGGAAATCCTGAGGCTGGCAGATCACAGAGCGAACCAGTCCGTGTCCTTGACATGGTAGCCAGGCTGGAGTCCGAGTGCCTGAAGCACCAAGGCCAGAGGGAACCTGGGACTCTGTCACGGAATAACAGCTTCCGTCGAAATGTAGGCAGGGTGCTGCTCACTAATGGTGCTCAGGCCAATGACAAGGATGACAAAAGCACCACAGATGCACCTGACACCCAGGCTCACCCCATGCAATTGGTGTCTGTGGGTGAAGGACCCTCCACAGCTGACCACTGTTCTGTGGGTGACCAGGCCTGGGATGGTATGTCTCAGGGCTGTCCCTCATTGCCAGCAGTTGTGAGCTTCCAGACGGACAGTACAGAATTAGAACCAGGTCAGCAAACAGCTGTGAGAAACTGCAACCGGCATGACATAGAAATGACAGACGCACTTGATGAGCCATCCTTTTCTTCTCACACCTGCCTCCAAGCCGCTGAGGTGCCCTCAGATGCCGTCCGCTGTATGAGCCGAGCCCTGGGACCACTCACGAAGCCCAGTCCTGCCCAGAGAAAGCAAACTGTGTGCATGAGCATCACTGTGTGCACAGTGGAGACAGCCCAGCCTTCTGCTGTAGACGCCCGTGAAGAGCCTCTCCCGGGGATGCTGTTTTTCCTGTCACCTGGACGGGACCAGCCAGAGTGCTCCCAGTTGAAAGAACACACAGCACAAGAGGCTTCAGAGGCCAATAACCCTCAAGATGCTGCTGAGGACAACAGCGTATGTGAAGAGAAGGATGCTTCTGTGGAGCCATTTGTCCCAGCAGCCTCTACAGGGGAAAATACATTTCCAGTGCTAGAGGCATCCAGTTGGAAGAAGCAGGTGTCTCAGGACTTCCTGGAGACCAGGTTTAAAATCCAGCAGCTTCTGGAGCCACAGCAGTACATGGTGTGCCTGCCTCACCACATCATGGTGAAAATCTTCAGGCTACTCCCTACCAGGAGTCTAGCAGTTCTTAAATGTACCTGCCGCTATTTCAAGTTCATCATCGAATACTACAACATCAGGCCAGCAGATTCTCGGTGGGTTCGAGACCCACGCTATAGAGAAGACCCTTGCAAACAGTGCAAGAAAAAGTATGTGAAAGGGGATGTGTCCCTGTGCCGCTGGCACCCCAAACCCTACTGCCAGGCACTGCCTTACGGACCTGGATACTGGATGTGCTGCCACCGCTCTCAGAAGGCCTTTCCTGGCTGTAAGCTGGGCCTTCATGACAATCACTGGTTACCTGCCTGCCACAGCTTTAACCGGGCAATCCATAAGAAATCAAGAGGGAGTGAAACGGAAGAGGAGTGCTGAAGTCCACGCGAGAGGCAGGGACTGAGAAACACCTGGGTCAGCCCCGAGGCATGCGACCTCACCCTCGCCCTTGGCTCAGGCAGTTTTTAACTCTGAATTTACCAATGTACATGAGATTCATTCCATGGTTTTGTATAGTAGTGCCTCGCATTAACCCTTTCAGCTGTGCAGAACTGCCTGTTTTCCTCTACCAAGGACATTCTGAGGTCACCAAGCAGTCTGCACTAGGGTCCTGACATGTTCCAGTACTAACTGTATTTGAAGTGAGTGGAGAAGAAAGCAGACCTCGGAGAATTCTGCCTAACCCCGAAAACTGGGCACCTTCCCTTCTACCTTGTATGCTTGATCCTGTGAGAATGACACCTGCGGATGGAGTTTGTGCCCTGTGCTGTTTACAGTGTATATATGGTTGTGATGCATGGGGCTGTGGAAGTGCACATTAAACCTGAGCGCCTTTACCTGGGATGAGTGCTTTGGCCCCTCTGTAAATGACAGATTAAACCTGATATTGTATATTACGGACAGTTGACCACAAAATAAGACAGTGTCATATGATAGTCAGGTCAAAACATTGATCATCCTCTTGTCTGGTTTCAATTCTTTTTCTTGAAACTTCAATAAAAATGCACACTTTAAATGGGGCCTGAGTTTACAGAGATTTGGGGGGTGTAAGATATAATCTCTTTAGATTTTATGTGTGAATGTGGGTGGTGTTGAACCCTCTGAAACTGTGTTGGGAACCAAACCTGGGTCCTCTGCAAGAGCAAAAAAGTTAACTGCCGAGGCATCGCAGGCCAAAGATTTATTTTCTGTGTGCCTGTGCTTGCTTTGAGTGCGAGCACCCTCGGAGGACAGAGGTGGCAGGCCCTCCACCGTGGAGGACAGAGGTGGCAGGCCCTCCACCGTGGAGGACAGAGGTGGCAGGCCCTCCACCGTGGAGGACAGAGGTGGCAGGCCCTCCACCGTGGAGGACAGAGGTGGCAGGCCCTCCACCGTGGAGGACAGAGGTGGCAGGCCCTCCACCGTGGAGGACAGAGGTGGCAGGCCCTCCACCGTGGAGGACAGAGGTGGCAGGCCCTCCACCGTGGAGGACAGAGGTGGCAGGCCCTCCACCGTGGAGGACAGAGGTGGCAGGCCCTCCACCGTGGAGGACAGAGGTGGCAGGCCCTCCACCGTGGAGGACAGAGGTGGCAGGCCCTCCACTGTGGAGCTTGACTCACGGGCAATGTGAGTCACCCAATGAACCGAACCCACTTCTGCCGAAGTCATCTCTCCATCTCTGGCATGGGAGGTTTTTTTAAAGGTTCTTAGGAATTGAGTTGTAATTTAAAAAACAAACTTTGATGTATGCTTCCCAGGTGCCTGAGGAGGCCAAGAGAGGGCATCAGACCCAAGAACTGGAGTTAGAATGGGTTTTGAGCCCTTGTGCCGTTGCTAAGAATCCGGGTCCTCTGGAAGAATAGCCAGTGTTCCTGGTGCAATCTCTCCAGCCCTGTTAAGGACTTTCTAAAGTTTTGTTTTGAAGCCATTTGTGGTGGCTTATGCCAGAAATCACAGAACTCTGGGGGCAAGGCAAGCATTGCTGAGCTTGAAGCGTCCCTGGGTTAAAAATTTCAAGCACACCCTAAAAAAATTATTCAAAGGGAAATAGCACTAAAAGTTGGTGCTGTAAAAAAAAATAATCCAAAAGCTAGGTCAGTCTGAAATGAAGCACACACGTACAGGACGCACGCCCACACAGTCACACACCTTGTTGTAGCTGTAAGCAGGGAGGACAGATGACAAATGTGGGCGAGCAATGGGAAGGAGAGAGCAGTGGTTCCCTTTTAAGGAGGATACAAACTTGGCCAGGACTTGCAGGGAGCAGAGGTCAGGACGACAGCTAGGTGGAGCTGGCTTGACCTATATTGAGCAAAGTGGCTTCCAAATTGGAATTTAGTTGTTTTGAGTTTTGATTTTAAAGTATGTGTGTACATGCATGAGTAAGCCAGGTGTCAGGTCCTCTGCACATGGGATTACAAGTTATGATGTGAGTCTTGGGAGCCAGACTTGGGTTTGTGGCTCCTAACAGCTGAACCATCTCTCTGGTTTGGGTTTTCTTTTATTCTTTACCATAACTGCTGAGGGCAGGCTGAAACTGCAAAGTGACCATGCCAGGGAGGCCACCCCTGACAAACGGGCCATGCTATGATGGCCTGCAGACTCAGGCTGAGAACAGCTCGTCTTCAAGACATCTGCTGTTGATTTGTGCAGACTGGCAATCAGCATCCAGGAAGTTTGTGCTGTCAAATCCCTCCTAAGGTGAGGTTAAAGGAGAAACCCACAGGGCGGAAACAGTGTGGCGTGCCTCATGCACTGTGCTCGACTGTTGCTGGCCATGGTTCTCCCCATGGATGCACAGGATAAATAACTGGGTTTTCATGAGTCAGCATTCCTGACTTGGTTATCACATGCTAGACAGCTGTGTGGGGCTGGGCTGGCTGAGCCGGGGCACAGGATGGCCCTATGCCACTTGGCATTACCTCAGAAATAGATGGCCCGATTTGACCGTGGCAGGACAGGGTTCCCGGTGCTGAATAGAGGCTTTTGCTGGTTGTATCAGAAAGCACCCATCCTGGTCCCTACTGCCAGACTGTAATGCTGCTTTTGAGAAAGACTGTGTGGCCCCCTAGTGTCGAATGTAGAAATAGCCCACTCTTTGATTTTGGTTTTAAGATTTTACATGAAGATGTTTTTGCCTGCATGCATGCAGTCCTGTGGAAGCCGAAACAGGGCATCATTCCCCTAAAACTGGAGTTGCAGTTGACCTCTGTCCTGTAGGTGCTGGGAACCTAACCAGTGCTCTGGAAGAGTCGCCAGTGTTAAGCATGTCTCTGAAGCACCCTGGAGAACGTGGTGCTCCCTTCCTGTATCGCTAAAGGACCTAACAAACATTCCAGGGCCCTCCCCTCCCTAGCAGCCAAAGAACACCTGCAATTTCAGCTCCTCCAGCCTCGCCTACCCGTGCTTCCCCCACCTCATTTCAAGTCCATCCTTGGCTACGCAGTGAGACCCTCCCAGCAGAACCCCAGAACATAATGCACCTGTTGATGTCTGCCCTGTGCACTGACTGCTGCACCCCAGCATCTACTGGAACGCAGTCCTACTTCCTTTTCTGGTGCCTCTCAGGTGCCCCAACACAATCCTCTGTATCACTGTGTGGAGTTCCATAGACCCATGGGGCAGCTAGTTTGAGCTTCTATCTTCACTGCCTCGTGGTACACACTTCATGTTTGCAACTGTGATCAGCAAGCTCTCTATAGTTGAGCCAAATTCCCAACCCTTTTCACATTTTTTTCGAGACATGGTCTTAGATAGCCCAGGCTATCCTCACACTTATGATCTTCCTGCCCCCAGCCTTCTGAGTACCTGGGATTACAGGCATGTACCACCAGACCTGGCTTCCTAGTGCCAACTCAATGTGACAGGTGCAGGCATGTTTGGATGGCACTGACTCCCGGAAGAGAATTTTAAGATCTCTGCCTCTGGACAGAGCTGATCCCAGGGAACCATGCTTTGTCTAGAGACGTTCCTACAGGAACTGTGGCTATTTTGTTCTGAACCCAATGACGCATGCTTGCTATACACTATGGTGGCAGTGGGCAGGTACTTACGGCCTGGCACTGTCTACTCACCTTTGGTTATGTGACTTCAGTGTCTCTTAGCCTTCCGGGCATCTTGGACAGTTTTCACAAGGACTACCAGCTCTTTGCCACGTCAGTTTTTTGACATTTCTTTGCTGAGCAGACAGTTTGTCTTCCTTCACCCACTGACTGCATCATATATACCGTAATCATTTGACACTGAGCCCTTCTTCGCACTGAACAGTGCCAGTAATGAATGGATGTGACCCACTGCGCATCAGGTACTAAGTCCTGCAGCTGTATGTTGTGCACACAGTAGAATTCTACCGTCTGTTCCCTTTGGGTTCAGATGGGCTAGTGTTAGAAGTGTGGGGAGCACACCACCCCCCTGACATGCACACCACCCCCCTGACATGCACACCACCCCCTGACATGCACACCACCCCCTGACATGCACACCACCCCCCTGACATGCACACCATTCCCCCTGACATGCACACCACCCCCTGACATGCACACCACCCCCCTGACATGCACAACACCCCCCCTGACATGCACACCACCCCCCTGACATGCACACCACTCCCAACTTTATGGACATTTATGGCCAGAGCTGATGTTTGCAAAGCCTCATGGAAAGAGCAAACAGTTTTGGCACCTTTGGGTGCCCCACATCTATCTTTGCCTAGCTGAAGCAGAACCTCATTGGAGCAGCACCCCACTCTGGGTGGCTGAACGTGCTGCCTGGGGAAGTCACTAGAGTTAGCAGCTGAGAACAGAACTGGACTGGAGCAGAGGTGGCATCCCTTGTGGAAAGAGAAAACCTAGCCATAGCAGTGAGGGCTGGCGAGATGGTTCATCGGGTAAACGCTTGCTGCGCGAGCCTGGCAGCCACTTAGGGGGACAAAGAATGGACTCCACAAAGCTGTCGTCTTACCTCTACACGTTTGTAGCACACAGGCCCCCTCTAGTAAGACCTGTAATTTTTTAAAAAGCCAATGAAACATTTTTCACCTTTTCCTAAGCCCCCTTAATAGAGAACAGAAGTGAGTTTCCAAAGGTATCTATTTTAGAGGGGCTTTGTTTTCCACTGGTACTGGGAGTCCAACCCAGAGCCAGGCTAGGTGGCTGGGTCACCATTAAGCTGCAACCCTGCCTTTTAAAAGGTTGGTTTGTTGCATTTGAATTTTGAGATGGATTCCAAGTTGCTCAGGCTGAGCTGAACTTGTTTTGCCGCAGCCTTTTCAGGGCTGGATGAGTCACCGTGCCTGCTCCCTCTTTATTTGGGACAGCGTTTTTCTGTGTAGTGCTGGCTGTCCTGGAACTCATTCTGTAGACCAGGCTGGCCTCAAAGGGATCTACCAGCCTCTGCTTCCAGAGTGCTGGGACTAAAATCGTGCACCACCACCGCCCAATCCTCCTGACTTCTGGCAGGGTCTCATGGAACATGGAATACTCCTGTCTACTCCTAGGTACTGACATTACAGGGATATGCCATCATACCTATACACATCAAACTATATTTTAGGGTGGGTTTGCAAAAATCAAAACAAGGCCCTTGAACATTTTCACCTTGAAATGATAAGCACATGGGAACTAGGTTCTCAAGTGAGCACTGGGGGGAAGTGGCATATGGCCAAATTTACTCTTGAAAATGTGGTGCCTACCACTTAGTCAAAGGCAGCTATTACCAGTACATAGCATGTCAGTCAGGTAAGGCTGGCTGATGTGGCTGTGCTGAGCAGTATGCAGACACAGGACTCGGGAAGAGGCAACAGCACTGGGTGTGCAATCGGCTGTGCCTTTCAGTGATCTATCTCCCTCCCTCCCTCCCTCCCTC